ATCACACCTTTAAGACATCTCAAAGCACTTCACAAAAAGTAGTATAAAGTGAATTGACTGTATATTTTGTGGGCAAATCGTGGCAGCCAATTGAGCACAGCAGTGTCCCACAAAGGGATTATTATCCCAGAACAGCAATCCACCAATCGACTTAACAACCGGTTCCTACTTACTGCTAGGTAAACAGAGGTGTGTGGAGTAAGAAATCTTGCCCAAAGTTTCACCCTTCCGGGAATGAAACCCAGGTCCTCTTGCTTGCGAGGCAAGTGCTCTAACCACTATGTTACAGGACTCTACTTCATATCCTGAAGTGAGATATGAATACAAATCCCACTTCAGGATGTAAGTAAAATGCTGTTCAATAAGTTCATATTACTGTCTTAATTGTAAGTACTTAATGAAATCCCTGTTACAAAGGGGTTTCACTTTTTTTAGTGAGGGCAGCAATCTTTGGCTTTCCTTCATCACACATAAAATTGCCCAGTCCGAGGTGAATTCTGCTACTGCCTCAATCAATCAGTTATTTATAGAAAGATGCTGTAATTTTACCTCTGAGCTATACAAATGTGATTTGTTCTTGTAGGAATGGGCTGCTGTTATTTCTGTAATGTGACTTAGCCCAGTTTCTCTGTTTCTTTGTCAATAAGATCAACACATTTTGCTATCAATCTATCAGTCTGAGGAAGGGAAATTAGCTATGTAACCCACCTTGTGGCTGAAGGTTATTATATACACATTAAAAGGAAGGTTATTACTTACACATAACAGTCACACATGTAAAATTTGTATACACTTATAAGCACACATACACCCATACATATAAATACTATATACACAAATACACTACACGCAAACAAACACATGCATATTCACATATGTATGGAAACACACACTTGCTCAAACACACAAAGAGTTATGTGTAGCACCTAAATGTACCTTATATTCTCTGGTGCTCTAACCACTAAGCTACAGGACATGTCATCACAAATAGGTGACTCATAAATATTAAGCAGATGAGAAATTTATGCTTCAGAAAAAAAAACTTTGGTAGAGAAAATAGGATGGTTATCAGATCCTAATAATTGTTTTTCTTCTTATCTGGTTTTATATTGGATAGTGTAATAATAATACTAATAATAATAATCCTTGCATTTGAGTCATTTGAGTCCATTATTGTGGAGGATAATTATTATTATTAAGGGTTATGATTATTATTATTTATTATAGTGCCTTATCATGTCTTTGAGATGCCTCAAAGCTCTTCACAGAACACACTGTAAAAACATAGAAACAGGAATAGGCCATTCAGCCCCTCGAGCCTGTTCCACCATTCTATAAGATCATGGCTGATCTGGACCTCAACTCCAATTACCCTTAATATCCTGAACTAACAAATATCTCTCCACCTCAAACTTGAAAATGTGAATGGATGCAGCATCCACAACCTTTTGTGGGAGAGAATTCCAGATTTTCGCTATCCTTTGGGTGAAAAACTGCTTCCTGATTTCACTCCTAAATGGCCCAGCTCTAATTTTGAGATTATGCCCCCTTGTTCTGTATTCCCCACCAGAGGAAACAGTTTCTCTGTAGCTACCCTATCAAATCCCTTTATTATTTTAAAAACCGCAATCAGATCACTCCTCAACCGTCTAAACTCAAGGGAGTAGAGACCAAGTTTATGCAACCTGTCCTCGTAATTTAACCCTTTAATCCCTGGCATCATTCTGGTGAATCTGCGCTACACCCCCTCCACAGCCAATATAGCCTTCCTGACGTGCGGTGCCCAAAACTGAACGCCGCCTCCAGATGAGATATGACCAAGATTCTACACAGTTGAATGTTCATTTTTGCTCCTTTATATTCCAGCCCCCTTGAGACAAAAGGCCATCAACCCATTAGTCTTTTTTATCTGTGAACTTAGTTTTAGTGATTTGTGTATGTGGACACCCAATCCCTTTGCTTCTCCACAGTTCTTAGTTTAAAATCTTGGTTTGTGACTTTCCCCTTCTCCCTCTCAAGCCTTCTATCAAATTCAATCATATTATGGTCACTATTTGCAAGATTTTCCCTTATAGTCAGATTGTTAACTAATTCTGGTTCGTCACTCATCACCAAACCTTTATTGCATGTTCCTTTGTCAGTTTGAAAACATATTGTTCCAGAAAACTGTCCTGAATACATTCTAGAAATGCGTTGCCTTGCCTACTTGAGCTATTCTGCTTCTCCCAGTCTATGTGAAAATGAAATCTCTCATTATAACCACTTGCTTTGTGAAGTGATGCCACTGTATATTTTGTGGATGAGACACCCACATTTATATCCTTCAGAACAACATTCTCCCTGTCACATTATCTTTTCATGTCATAAGGATTCTAAAAGATTCCCAGACACATTTTTTTAAGAAAGGTTAAGTGTTTAAATGGAGTATAATAATAATAATCCTTGCATTTGATATAGCGCTTTTCACGTCGGGAGGACGTCCCAAAGCGCTTCACAGAACACACTGTAAAGTGAATTGACTGTATATTTGTGGGCGAACGCGGCAGCCAATTGCGCACAGCAATGTCCCACAAACAGTCGTAGATTGAAAATGACCAATTTTTATTATTGTTTTTGGTTTTGGAGGGATTATTATTAGGCGTGTGGAGTAAGGAAACTTGCCCAAGGTTTCGCCCTGCCTGGAATTGAACTCAGGTCTCTCGCTTGCAAAGCGAGTGCTCTAACCACTCAGCTACAGGACTCCACATTCAACAAGAATACTTGTTGAGTATTCAACAAGGTGGACATCAAAAGGCTGTTTCCACTTACTGGTTAGTCCAAAACCAGAAAGCATAAATATAAGATAGCCACTGGAGGATATAAACAGGAGATAAGGAGGAATTTATTTATGTAGAGGGTAGTGAAATAATAAATAATCCTTGCATTTGATATAGCATCTTATTACGTCTTTGAGACGTATCAAAGCGCTTCACAGAATATATTGTAAAGTGAATTAACTGTATACTTTGTGGGCGAAACGAGGCAGACAATTGCGCACAGCAAGTGTCCCACAAACAGTCGTGGATTGAGTGACCAAATTATTATATTATTTAAATGTAAGGGATTATTACCCCGGAAAGCGATCTCTCAATCGAAGAACAAACTGGGTTCCTACTTACTGCTACGTGAACAGAGACGTGTGGAGTAAGGAAACGTGCCTAACGTTTCGCCCGCCTGGGAATCAAACCCAGGTTCTCTCGCTTGCGAGGCGAGTGCGCTAACCACTAAGCTACAGAACTCCACGAGATCGAAGAGACTTAATGGAAGAACTGGAACAAGGAAAATATGGAAATGTGGAACTCAGTGGTGAAAACTGTGGTTGAAGCAAAACTAATCTATGTACTGAAAAGGAAACTTGGTACATGCATTAGGCAGAAGGGAATAGAGAGGTATGGAGATTGACAAGGAGGGCTGGAGATTCAAATGGAATATAATGACTGGCACGGACTGGTTGGAACAAATGGTCTATTTCTATGCCATAATGTTTTATGCATTTCTGGGTAAGGTACAGTAAGGTTTTTTAAGTTTGTGTTTCCTATTAACAGTGAACAACTACTACTTCAAAATTACCATCAATTGTGTAATGTTAGAAAGGTCTTGATTTATTGAAAAAAATGACTTTTATTGAAGAAAAATGGAGTATCCCTAGGAATCTTTAAAAGCTCTTTACATTTTAAACTACATTTTACAGACAAAACCATTATCATTGTAGCTATCTTTACAATATCTTCCTGTCATGGTCTTTTTATGGCCTATTTTATCCTGCCAAATTGTGCAAGAATTTTTGGCATGGAGGTATACAAATGTTTATGTTATAGCTAATGGTTACTAAAGGCCAATAAACTTAGAAATTTTATTGGTTTTACTGCTAGCTATCATCATGTAAATGATATTTTTTCCAAAGCTGCTCATGGGAGGAACCTGTGATTTGTGAACTGTGATAACTTGTAGGTCTCTTCTTGGTCTCCAGCCTTTAAGCATTTTGTCCTGAGGGAACACAGTTTATTCTGTATAAGGGAAGAGAGCTCTGTGATTCACAAAAAAACAAAGAGAAAGGAGTTTGACTGAACTGCTGGGTGATATGTGGTCACTGTACCACACATGATTTTTTGTAGATTCAATAAATATAATACACATTTTAGTACCTTTCACATCATGAGGACGTCGTAAAGCGCTTGATACTGCTGGATGGGAGTGGGAGCCAAGGGGGTTGGGAGGGGAAAGACGACTGAAATTGCGAACATAAAGGTAGGACTTGAGCCGGAGCTTGAATGGGTGAGGAAGGGAGTGAATTGAGGGGTGTTGATGATGAGCCAATATCAATGATGTATTAACCTGAGTTTATATGTTTAAAGAGGATCAAAACCCAAACAAACTTTGTGGACAGATTTCAAATCAACATAAATCTGTACATGTCATGAAAGAAATACCATTGGGTTTCCCTGAAGGAGAGAGAGAGGCAAAAAAAACCTACAGGAAAGCCTTAGATGCATCCCGGGAAAAAGAGCAGTAAAGTGATGGGAATACTGGGCTGTGTGTACAGAGGATAGACTTCGAACATCAGCGGTAATATTGGTCTATCTTTTCTCTTAATTGGTAATATGCAGTAGCTAAAACCACTGATTAGTGTTTGTAATTGAACAGTAGAAACTAGAACGGTCATTACAGAGGAAGGCATTCCTCATCACATTTTTCAGTAAACATTTTCAGATAATGCCAAGTTTATATGTTACGTATTAATAGAGTTACATAGAATCTACAACACCAAAACAGGCCATTCAACCTGCTAGTGTGTGCCAGTGTTTATACTTCATATGAGCATCCACCTACCTAAACTCCCTGTCCCTAGTCTCCCCCAAGCCTCTCCCACACCTCTCTATCCCCTTCACCCTCATGTATACATCCCTTTTTTCTTCTGGAGAAGGTTAAATATTTGTGTTCTTTTCTCCCCTGTGCTGTAGCACGTCATGTGTACTGGACTGTGGTGTAAAGTGGATGGGCACCAGGAGTGTAAAACCAAGCTGGACCCACCGCTGGATGGAACTGAGTGCGAACAGAGAAGGTAAGAAAAACAAGGCACAACTTTTAAAATATAATTCCACAGTGTTTCCAGATCTCTCCTGCAGCGAATGACACAATATTTTCCATTGTTTGTGCCTATTTTCTAAGCTCTCGATCCCTCTTGAAAGACAGAAGGATTTATAAATGCTGCAAGTGGAATGTCTAGATAAAAGCTTTGTGACATTTGGGGTTGAAAATGAGGTGTTCACAAGCCTTAAGACATGCAACTTCCAGTTTGAGTTGCCAGTCGTCACTTTTGCTTCTGGATCATTTCTCCTCCAATAGAAGGCCGTAAAAATCATGATAGTAAGGTCGGAAAGCAAAAGGCTGGCCACAGAACAGCCTCTAACCACAGAAAATCATCTTCAAATGCCTTCATGCCCTGGCACCACCCTACCTATCTGACCTACTTATCTCCCAACCCACTTCCCGCTGCCTCCGCTCATCTGGTTCCGGTGTTCTGCATTGCCTCATGCCCTCCGATCCACCATTGATGGCTGCGCTTTTAACCACTACACTCCGAAACTCTAGAACACACTTCCTCTATCTCTCCATCTTGCCCTATCCTTCCCATCTTCAGGTACCGACCAAAGACCTTCCTCTTCGACTGTGACTACGATGACCCCCCGCTCAGCATCATGCTCTGCCACCGTGAAGCGCTCTGGGACAATACCCTGCATGAGGGGTGCTATATAAATGCAAGTTGTTTTGTTGAAAATGTGCAGCACAAGAAGGCCATTCGGTCCCATTATGTCTGTGCTGATAACCCGGCCTTCGGGATCACGCTTTCTTTTGTATTTGGCAGCACATCACACAATATTAGCCTGAAAACAGAAGCACACAATCAGCACCACCACTTCCAGTTTCCAAATGCTGCACTTCTGAACGCCAATCTAACGATTCCAGTCAAACACACATAATTCTGGAAATGGATTTATCAAGAAAACCTTTGCGGAGGCTAACTTTTGTGTAACTGGCCTCAGGCCCAACATCAGGCACAGATCAAGAGACAAGCTTCTTGTGCTAACCTCTGTCTATAGGGTTTGACATATGACTTAGGGTAGAAATAAATCACACTGCAGATAATAGCCAAGAGCAGGACCTTCCTTGTCACTAGTTGGCAGGAATGTCATTCTTAAGATTGACTACAAGCAGCAGCAATGGGCAGTCTGCAGAAATATGCAGCTGATGTGATGCTGAAGCAGATGAATGATGAGCAGTTACCCCCAGCCCTCCCTTCCCCCTGGCAAATGAAGCAAAACTCCAAAATCCACAGCAATTGAAGGGTGCGCCCACTCTACCATGCACTGGGTAACAGCGAACAGCGCTGCATTCCTTCTGGGAGATGTTAACTCAATGTATTTGACAAGCCTGAACAAAGACTGGCCACGTGCAAGTTCCTTCACCTCTCCAAACCGCCAACCAAGATGTGCCTTGTGAAATAGCAATCGTTCTATCTTACATTGTTAACATTAGATACAAAGTCGATATTTCTATTGTGTTTTGAAAAATAAACAGCAAGTGGTCAAAAAAAATTATGTAACCAGTATCGTTTATAGTTGAGCTAACTCCCATTACTCTAGCAAACAAATTACCTGAACATCAATGTGGAATCCATATGTTTATGATGGTAAGGGTACCCCTGAAAGCAAAGTGGTAGCATTGTCCTTGCATTTGATATGGCGCTTTTCAGTCTTCTAGACATCTCAAAGTGCTTCATAGAATAGACTGTAAAGTGAATTGACTGTATATTTGTGGGTGAAACGCGGCAGCCAATTGTGCACAGCAGTGTCCACAAACAGTCGTGGATTGAAATGGCCAATTTATTATTGTTTTGTTTTGGAGGGATTATTATTAGGCGTGTGGAGTAAGGAAACTTGCCCAAGGTTTCGCCCTGCTTGGAATTGAACTCAGGTCTCTCGCTTGCAAAGCGAGTGCTCTAACCACTGAGCTACAGGACTCCACTTTGTCTGTATAGACTGCGAATCCCAAATAGGAAATCCTGCCAGTAAACCGAACTGCATCATACTGACCTGTGAGAACCAGTGATCTGCTTTTGGTGCACTTTGGAATGAAGTTCCCCAGTTTGGTGGGAGCACCATGTGAGGTTTTCCTATTTGTGACCTAAGCTCTACATTAACTACTCCTGTTGGAAATTACTGCTAATTGGGCCCCATTATCATGCACGTGCTTGCCAATGTATTTGATAAAAGCAATTATCATTAAAAAGCAGTTTCATATCGCAGTTGAATTGGTTTTAAGATGATAACGTAGATTTTCCGTTCCAGATAAAGCAGCTGCGAATTTTAGTTGGTCAAGGCTTAAAAGAAGAGAGGAATCTATAGTGACATTGCAGTCACTGCATGCTGTGCAATGCTGGAGTACTGTATTTTAGCCACAGAAATCTCTTGACTGGGTACATTCACTTTGGGTCTATCAACTAGTGTGAGATCATGTGAAGCACTTTTAGACATGAAAGGCCTTATATCAGATGCAATAATTATTTATTTGCTTTATTCTTTTTGTTAGGTGTTTACAAATGGAATTTTCTGAATTTGATGCAGAAAAGATTGCTAATAATAGTGATTAGCACGCGATAGCCCCAGAAAACAGTACAGAAACACATTGAATTAATTGTTGGATGGAAGGGAGAATGTTACCTTAAAAAGTTTACAATTTAAACAATTTAGTTAACTTTTAATTTTAGTCCAAGGTCATGGTTCATCGATATTGCCAATAGCACTTGTCAGAAGACATGTTATATTGTGCTGACAATCCTCCAGGGGCATTTCTTTTGCAGGTTGAACAGCTACAAATGAACATTTTTTACAGTTAAACCTAGACAGTGTCTCTCTGGCCTGCTGAGGAATGTTACAATGCAGTAAGCTTTTGTGCTTGGTAATAATAAATAATTTATATTCTGAGCTGTTTAGCAGTGAGTGATGCCCACTTAGGACACAGGAGACATGTTGCTAGAAATTTATTTTTATCTGTTAAAAGGTTTTAGTATGTTTTCTAAGCTATTGAAATGCCACGTATCTTTGCCCTCAGAATGCCAGAGCAGAATGCTTATCACTGGTAAATTTATTTGAAATATCACAGCAACGATGAAACTGAAAACTGCTCCATTTCTCCATATGTAAAAGCTGGAGCCAAGCAGAATCATATGCACAATTCAGCAAGCTGACCTTTTACTATAAAGTAACTCAGAATGGCAAGAACCAGCAATGCTCGGTCTGAAGAGAAAAATTGTTTGCCTAAAACTTTTTATTTTGCTTTATTTCATTTTTAAGCTCAAATGAATACACAAGAAGATATTCCCTGTTGGATGGAATGTCATTGCATACATACAAAACAATAAAAAGTGCACTTCTTGGCACCTTTCGTGTCGGGAGGATGTCTCAAAGCTCTTGACAGTGCTAACTGGGCACCCAAGCTGGGTGGTAACCGAAGGGAGGTGGGAGGAGAAAGATAGCTGAAGCACAGCCATAGAAGTATGTCTTGAGCCAGGCCTTGAATGATGGAAGGGTAGCGAGTCAGAGGGACTCCTAGATGGAGTTACAATAGAATGGGAGCTGAAAGCTCGCCTGCCATTGGTGGGGGGAATGGGATGGAGATATGAAGCCATTTGAGAGAAGTGAACAGCAAATCAGATTAGTTGATTATTCACACACATATACAAATAAGGCAACTTTGTTATTAAGTGCCTCTCTAAAATCCTATGGACCCGCAGTTACTCAAAGTACAGTTCAGTGATGCCTTCTGCAGAACACATTACTTCCTGCCGACTTCTGGGTGTATCACATCCTTGGTGCTGAGCATGTATAGGAAGCCCCCGATACCACTTCACAAAGGAAGTGACATCAGTGGTACTTCTTGGTCGCAGCCTTCAGGCAGTGCCAGCCTGACAACTCTGCATTTGGCCATTATTTCACGTTCTCTTTGAATGTTGGGTTCTGAGATATTCGACCCAGCTGACCGCGTTATATCACGGTTGCCTTGTATTTCACAACATCTGATAACGCAGAAATAAAATTGCTTACAGACGACATGGAAGTGTGAAGTCGAGCAATAATCAAGGAAAACAGCTGGGTAACATGTGCTTTTCAATTTAGTGCCTGCGGTTGTTTTAATAATGGATTAAATATCAAAGGATGAGAACATAGTCAAACGGTGGATTTCTGTATTAATTGTTAATAATAAACCATTTTAAAGAATAACTTGAACTCTGTGTAACCCACAAGTGAGAAAGTCATCAATAGCTTGTGGATGGTCGGGTCACTCAAATTGTTTCGAGCTGAGATTTTAACTGTTAGATTGCTGGAGAATTTACAGAGCTTCCCATTTCTGTAGGCCAACTGGTTCTAGGCAGCTCATACAGTTTGAAGCTACAACAAACTATAGCATTCAAGCTACTCAAACATCAAGATACCTCTACAAATGCGATATCAACCTGAATTCACCAAAATATATAGACAAATAAAACAATTTTATATCATCACTTGTGTTCATCCTGCGGTTCTTTCACTCGTTCTATCTGGGCATCTGAGTTACAGGGAGAGATTGCAGAAGGTGGGAGTCTATTCATTGGAGGATAGGTGATTGAAGGGTGATCTGGTTGATGTTTTCCAGATGTGAAGGTTGTGAGTGAGCTAGCCTCCCAATACCTTATTCAATACAGCCAGAGGTCCACAACAAGGGGTCATGATCTCAGCCTTAGAAGAGGTAAAGTAAATAGCAGGAGAGTGAATGGACAGTTTAAATTTAATTATTTTACAAACCTTGCATTTAATATAGCACCTTTATATCAGTGGATATCTCAAAACGTTTCACAGGATTTACTGTAAAATGTAGTGCTTGTGTATTTTGTACGCAAACTCAGCAGCCAATTTGCACACAGCAATGTACCGCAAGCAACCATGTGGTGAATGACCAATTTTTTCTGGCAGCATTATAAGCCAGGACACCAGGAGACAATCCGTCTCTTTTCAAAAGGTGAAAAATCATCATGGATCCAAAGGGACTTAAAGGGACTTCCCTTTAAAATCTTATCTGATGGTCAGGACTTCCGGCAATACACAGTCAATATACTTTACAGTAATTCCTGTGAGGTACTTCAGGATGTTTCAATACATAATAAGATATATCAAATACAAAGAATATTTTCATTATTATAAGCCATGTAGTTTCTTTTCCCTCTCCATTTCCAACCCCCAAGCATCCCCGTAGCCGCCCCACCCCCACCCACCCACCCCCGCGCACACAGCAAGATGATGGGTAATATTTCTCACTCTACTATTGACTCACAACAGATTTACAACAACAACTTGCATTTATATTGTGCCCTTCACGTGGGGTATCATCTTGGAACTAGGATTCGTGGACTGCTTGTGATAATTTCTGTTATTTGTAATTTACTTCTATTTGATTTTTGAGATGTTTCTTTTATGCAAAAGGCCCTATATAATTGTATGTCATACAAGTGTATCTATTCTATGGATGAATAACCATGAATAACCAATCTCTTTCCCTTGACAGTGGTGTAAGGTGGGCGAATGTGTCAGCAAAACACCTCTCCCTGACTATGTAGACGGAGACTGGAGCACCTGGAGTATCTGGAGCACTTGCAGTAGAACATGTGATACAGGAGTCAACTTTCGTCAGCGTAAATGTGATAATCCTAGGTAATGTCAGTTCAGCTTTGTTCATTCAGCTGAAATAGTTCAGTAATCCGCATCCCACCTAAACATAGAGAAATTCCAGAAATGTCTATTGGGATGGAATGCACACTCTATCCCTGGAGGGCTGCATCCCGCTTACTAATTCCAGGGAGTGTTAGGCACAGGTTGCCAAGAGCCAAGGCTTAGGGACCCCAGAGCGTACGTTGGGATACTGCTGGAGTCTAAATTAGCTAAATCCAGATAGTTTGCCATCAAAAGCACTGCTTGTTCAGCTAAGACCAGCCTACCTGTTAGGGCTTTGGCTTGCTTTGTTAATGGAAGCTGCATTGGAAGAGTCCCTGCCCTCCTGCAGATGTCATCAGCAATGCCCTTTAATACTACAAAACCCATCTTGCTCAGGAATCCATTCAGTACCACCACAGAGAATTGGCTCGATTCTGATATTCTGTTGCCAAACATATCACCTTGGAACCAGTTCAGCTCCAATGAGACCCAGCTTACCTTTCCCCCCAAGGAGGATAGTCACCATTCGGTCAATATCAGTAACCAGGTTACTCTCCAACAGAGTTAATATCCCTTCAGTTAAAAGGTAAAACATTGTGAAACGGTAACATCTCAGTGGAGTTATTGTTTATTTGATTCTCATCCAGGCCGGGTCCTGAAGGCAAGGATTGCCATGGAGCTTGTGTACAATACAAGATATGTGAGAATTCTCCGTGTCCTGGAGGAGTGCCTGTGTTTCGGGATTTGCAGTGTCAATCATTCAACAGGCCCTCGTACCAGAAGCATTTGTTGCAGTGGTATGCCGTCACTGATGAAGGTAATCATGTTTTTCAACACCTCTGGAAAACATTTAGAATTACATTCATGTATTTCAAAGAGCAGTATCCATGCAATAGTCAGTTATCATAATCTGCAACATTTTCAGTCTCTGCTTTGTCAGCTGTAGACAGTGATCGGGGGTGACCGAAACTAAATAGCATTGTATTTGTCATTCTAATTTGGTGACAAGTCATCCAGTTAAGGTGATCATTTCACCTTGTGGGCAGTCCCAAGGTTCAACCTACAACAACAACAACTTGCACTTATATAGCGCCCCTCCACGCAGGGTAGCATCTCAGAGCGCTTAATAGTGACAGAGCCTGACTCCAAGCAACAGGTTGGGGGGAGGTGGATGTAAGCACGGTCGAAGCGGAAAGTTTTCAGGTGGGACTTGAAAAAGAGGAGAGAGGGGGCAAGGCGGAGGGATTGAGGAAGAGTGTACCAGAGTTTTGAGGTGCAGTGGCTGAAAGCGCAACCTCTGATGGTGGGGCGGAGGGTGCGAGGGATGAGCAGGAGGCCGGTGCCAGTCGAGTGGAGGTGCCGGTGGTAGTTTGGGGAGTGAGGAGGTCTGAGAGGTAGGGAGGTGCCAGGGAGTGAATGGATTTGAAGACGAGTGTGAGGATCTTGAAGTTCGATCCGTTTGATGTTGGGGAGCCAGTGGAGCCTGGCCAGAATTGGTGAGATGTGGGTACGAAGTTTGGGCCGGGTCAGTATGTGGGCGGCAAAGTTCTGAATGAGCTGGATCTTTTGAATAGTGGAGCTGGGGAGACCGGCCAGGAGTGTGTTTGAGTAATCCAGGTGGGAGGTGACAAGTGCATGCCCAAGGGTTTCGGCTGCATTTGGGGTAAGATACTGTCAGAGACGGGCAATATGGCAGAGGTGGAAGAAGACGGTCCTGGTCAGGGACCAGATATGGGTGAGGAAGGTCAGCTGGGGGTCGAACCGGATGCCTAGGTTGCGCACTGGTTCAGTGAGTCTGAGGGAGAGCCCAGGAAGGTCGAGAAGTTTAGATCCGCAGGAGTGAAGACATTGACAGGAGTCAAGGAGTTTACACTCATCCAGGCCCTAATGTCTGCCAGACAAGCTGATAGAACATCAGTGGACCTGGAGTCACCTAAGGCGCTGACATGGTTGCACACTCCAACTTGTTAAGCCAGTCTGGAACCTTGGGGTCTTGTTTGACGCTCAACTATCCTACATTCTACCCTACATCTTCGCCATGACCTGCTCTGCCTTCCCCCACCTCCGCAACGTCGCCCGGCTCCACCACTGTTTCACACCGCAGGCCGCCGAAACCCTCGTACATGCTTTCATTACATCAAGGTTTGACTATGAAAACTCATTGCTTGTCAGCCTCCGCAACTCCTCCCTCCATAGGCTGCAGGTCATCCAGATATTATTATTATTATTATTATTATTTTATTATTATTATTATTTTATTATTATTTTATTATTATTATAACTCTGCAGCGTGTGTCCTCTCCCGCACCAGGCTCCGTGACCCTATCACCCCTTGCCCAACTCCATTAGCTTCCCATCACAAGAGGATACAATTCAAGATCCTGGTCCTCACCTTCAAAGCCCTCCACGGTCTTGCTCCCCTCTACCTCTGCGACCTCCTAACCCCCTATCATCCTGTTCACTCCCTTCGCTCAGCGGGCTGCAGCCTGCTTCAAGTCCCCTGCCTCGCTCACCCCACTATTGGCCTTCTGCCACACTCGCACCCACACTCTGGAACTCCATCCTGCAATCCCTTCACCTCACCACTTCCCTCGCCACCTTCAAGACCCATCTCAAGACCCTCCTCTTTGACTGTGCTTTCGATCTCCATGCTTCTCCCACCTGCCCTCCACCCTCCCCCACCCCGATCCCCAGCTCGGGTGCGTAATTCTGTCTGTCCAGCGCCTTGGGACGTCCTCTCGACATGAAAGGCGCTATACAAATGTAATTTTGTTTTGTTGTTGGTGGTGGTGGTGGTGATACTGGAGGAGGCAAAGTAGATTTGTGTATCATCCGCATACACGTGGAAGAATGGAGGCCCAAACTTGGAGCCCTGGTAGATGAGGGAGTAGAAGGCGATGGAGGAGGATGTGGTGGTTGACTGTGTCGAACATGGCAGTGAGATCCAGGAGGATGATGAGGCAGAGGGAGCCCTAGAGAGAATGTTGTTTGTGACTGCCAAGCGCTGTCTCTGTGCTGGGGGCAGGGTGAAAACTAGACTGCAGGAGCTCGAGGAGGGAGTTGAGGGAGAGGTGTGACTGAAGTTGACCTGCAATAATGCATTCTAGGACTTTGGCAAGGAAGGGTAGGCTTGAGATGGGGTGGTAGTGTGAGAGATTACAGGGATCGTGGGTGTTTTTTTTGAGGAAGTGGTGTAATGACAGCGGGTTTCATGGTGGGAGTGGAACACAGCCTGAGGAGAGAGACTGGTTGACCATGTAGGCCAGCAGGGGAGAGAAGCGGAAGTTGAGTGATCAGCAGCTGGGTGGGGAGGGGGTCGAGGCAGACCGTGGTGAACTTATAGGGCCTTGGTAAGACCGCACCTAGAGTATTGTGTGCAGTTTTGGTCTCCTTATTTAAAAANGGACATACTTGCCTTAGAGGGGGTGCAGCGTAGATTCACTAGGTTAGTACCTGGGATGAGGGGACTGACCTATGAGGATAGGCTGAATAAACTAGGGCCGTATTCTCTAGAGTACAGAAGAATTAGGGGAGATCTTATTGAAACATATAAGATTCTTAAAGGGCTGGGTAAAGTAGACACTGAGGGACTGTTTCCCCTGGTAGGAGAATCTGTATCAGGGGTCACAGTCTTAAAATTAAGGGTCAGCCTTTTAGAACAGAGTTGAGGAAACATTTCTTCACTCTTCACTTACAGAAGTCTGTAGATGCTCAGGCTTTGAACATTTTCAAGGCTGAGACTGATAGATTTTTAAAAAATAGAGAGATTAGAGGATACGGAGATAGGGCAGGTCCGAAGATCAGCCATGATTTTATCGAATGGCGGGGCAGGCTCGAGGGGCCGAATGGCCTACTCCTGCTCCTAATTCTTATGTTCTTATGTTCTTATTCGGGTTGAGAGGGAGGAGGGAGAAATGGGGGCAAAGGAGTGTCAGGACAGGGGAGTGGCAGGAGTCGTGGTGGAGGGAGAAAGTGGTGTGGATGGTCTGGGTGGGGTGGAAGGGGACATGGGGTGGAGGGGAGGACGATGCAGCCAAGTGGATGTTTTAAATTTTTGAGACGAAGAAGTCTAGGACCTCTTCACACTTGGCGTTTGACGTGAGGATCGGGGCCTTGAGGGGATGCACGGAGGAGGTGATGGACGGTGTAAAACAGTATCTTTGGATTGTTGTTTGCCTCCAGGATAACTTTGGAGTAAAAGTCAGTTTTGACCTATGAAAGGGAGAGGCAGTAGGTGTGGAGGTGCTCGAGCCACAGCTGGCGGTGAATTGTGAGGTCGAATTTCTGCCATCTGCGCTTGAGCATCCGGGTTTGTTTTGAGTGAGCAGAAATCACTGTTGTACCAGGGGGAGCGGGTGGGTTTGGAAACAACCCTGGATTTCAGGGGAGTCAGGGAATTGAAGGTTGTGGAGAGATGGTCATTCAGCAGCTTAAGGGCTGTATCAGGATCACTGTGGGTGGAGGGCCAGAGGAAGAGGAGGTCCGAGGAAGAGAGGGCATTTGTGAGGGACTCAGGGGAAAGCTTTTTCCAGGCGTGGAAAAAGATGGTGGAGGGCTTGGAAGCGGGGAGGGCGATGTGGGAGAAGAGGGAGATGAGGAAGTGGTCCGAGATGGCCTTGTCCATGATAGACAGGTCGGAAATGTCAAGGCCGTGTGTGATGATGAGGTCAAGGGAGTGGCCATGGTTGTGGGTCGGCGAGTCAATGTGGAGGGTGAGGTTTAGGGAGGAGAGGAAGGCAGTGAAATCTGAGGAGGTGGGGGCAAGGGGAGTTTAGATGGAGGTTGAAATCACCCATTATGAGCAGATGTTCAGTGCAGAGAGACAGGGATGAGAGGAGAAAGGAGATATCAGTGAGGAAGGAGCCAGGAGGTTTGGGGGTGGGGGAGTAAACCAGGAGGATTTTGAAGGAGAGAGAGGATGGGTGGCAGAGGGTGAGGTGCACAAAGGAGGAGAATCAGCCAGACGAATAGGGGGATAGACCAAGGGAAACTAGGAAGATGAGGGCCACCCCACCGACACGTTGATTGGGATGGGGGGTGTGGTAAAAAGGGTAGCCAGGAGGGGAGGCTTCAACAAGGATGACGGGGTCACCGGGGGAGAGCCAAGTTTCTGTAAGCCCAAGAATATCAATGTGCTCATCCAGGACGAGATCATGGAGAGTAAGGGCTTTGTTGGAGAGGGAGCGGACATTTTGGAGGGAAATATGGATAGGTTTGCTAGTGGGGGTCGGTGATGGGGAGAGTGGTATAGAGTGGTATAACTTACCTCCTAGCAATCCATTACTCGGTATGTTAGTCTGCCAAAGTAGTATTTTACTGCTAGACCATATTTTCAATTAGTGCACTCAACACCAGCAGCAATTTAAATTTTTGTAGCCCCTTTTACACTCGGAGGGTGCCTCAAAGACTTTCACACAACTGACTGGGAGCCCGAGCTGGGGAAGAGAGGTGCGGACAGAGGGGGAAAGGTGGCAAAAACTTGGTTGAAGAAATAGGTCTTAAGGCAGATTCTGAAGACAGGGAGGAAGGGGCAAGATGGGGGTCTCTCAAAATTGACTTCCAGAGAGTGGGGGAAGAGCTCACCATGCCACATGTGATTGACGTAAAGCAGGCTGATTGACGTGTTTGCTGAGCAGAGAAAGTGGTTGGGGCCAAAGGTTGTTGAGGTAAGGTGGGATGAGGCCATTGAGACATTTGAAATTGGGTTTGAGACTCTTGCATTGGATCCACTGGGGGTGTTGACAGCCTGTGGAGCCAAGCAAAGATGGGGTGATGGGCTTGCGAAGGCTGGTGCAAAAGAGGACATGGGCAGCAAAT